GGGGGGGGGGGGGGGGGGGGCGGTGGAGCTCCTGATGTGAAAGTGTTTTTTAACACCTAGGAAGCTTTAAATAAGAGTTCATCAACATAAATAGCTTAAAAGCAGCTTGCCTTGTTTATGTTCTATATCCAGTTCACACCTGGGGTTAACCACTTAAAACAGCTCCCACATCCAGGTGTGGTACACCTGCACACAGCTGTTAGGGGGCCCTAAGGCAATCAAAGAAGTGTTACAAGAAGGTTAGGCAGCTGAAGAGGGATTGTGGAAGGAAAATGGAGGTATTGGGCCTTTGGAATCCAGTAACTTATGGCACAGAGTAGGGGCTATGCCATGCCTGCTCTGAACTCATCCAGTGGCAAGAACGAAGAATGAGAAAGGTGGAGGCAGAAAGGAATATAATCAAGTTTTAGGGAAAGAAACATAGGTTTTGCTGCATCTCTTCAATGCCCACTGACCCATTATATCTGGTATCCTGCCTCAGGCAGCAGCCAATCTTGGATTCTTCAAAGCAAAACAAGAAGCATCATCGGGGGATGGGGATGCAGAGGTGCAGGAGGACACTTTGATGTCAAGCCAGGAGATGCAAGCAAGAACAACCCAGGTAAGTGACAAGGGCCTGGGCAAGCTTGGGAACAAGAGGGCAGCACGAACACCCATAGGAGGGCTCAATTGCCTCTACACAAATGCTAGAAGTATGGGGAATAAGCAGGAGGAACTCACCCTCCTGTTAGCTAGCAAAAACCCAGACCTGGTTGGGCTTACAGCAACCTGGTGGGATCCTACCCATGACTGGGCAGTAGAGACCTATAGGTTGTATAGACAGGATAGAGTAGGGAAAAAGGGAGTGGGGGGTGTAGCACTCTATGTTAAAGAGCAGTACACATCCTCAATGATCAGGATGGGGTCAGAGGAGGGGCAAACTGAGGCGCTTTGGGTTAGAATGCAAGGGGGTCGTGGGGAAAGGGACTTGATAGTGGGTGTCTACTACAGACCGCCTCACCAGGGGCACGAGCTGGACCAGGAATTCTCAGGTCAGCTCACGGAGGCTGTAAGGACAAGGGATGTGGTTGTTGTGGGTGACCTAAACTACCCAGACATCTGCTGGGAGGATCAGTCAGCCAGGTCTGAATGCTCATGTAGGTTTTTAGCCTACATACAAGACCTCCATCTAACCCAGGAGGTACACAGTCCCACCAGAGGAAATGCCTTGCTGGACTTGGTCCTTGACACAGGCAATGACCTGGTGAGGAATCTGCGGGTGCTCAACTACCTAGGCAGTAGTGACCATTGTCTGCTGGAATTTACTACCTAGTGCAGGGCAGTGAAAGCAAGCATTAAGGCAAAAGTCCTTGACTTCAGGAGAGCCGACTTCAATTTGCTAAGGAGATTAGTGAGAGAGACATTGGGGACTTGGGGCCTCAGTGAGATGGGAATCCAGGATGGGTGGTTGTTCCTTAAGGAGATGATCCTCCGAGCCCAGAGGGAGTCAGTCCCAATGTGAACCAAAGGGGGTAAGAGTGCTAAAAAGCCCCCTTGACTCAGTAAAGGCATCCAGGAGGTCCTGAGGGCAAAAAAGGTGACATACAATCAGTGGAAGCAAGGGGCAGTCACCAAGGAGGATTACATTTACATTGCTAGTGATTGCAGGGAGGTGGTTAGGAAGGCCAAAGCAGAGATGGAACTAGGGTTTGTGACCAGAACGAAGGATAGCAAAAAGTCCTTTTTCAAATACGTAGGGAGTAAGAAGAAGGCACCAGGGAATGTGGGGCCCCTACAGGACAGGCTTGGCAATCTGGTGATTTCAACAAAGGAAAATGCTGATCTCTTCAATGAGTTCTTTGCCTCCATATTTCTGAGCAGGGACCAGAACAACTTCCCCAGTAGGATTACAGATAGGCTCAGGGGACACAACACCATGCCTAGGGTCAGGGACAATTTAGTTAGGGAACTTTTGGAGGGGCTGGACGTGTTTACATCAGCAGGTCTGGATGCTCTTCATCTGAGGGTACTCAGGGAATTGGTGGAGGTCATAGCAGGGCCCCTGGCACGGCTGTATGAGCGCTTGTGGTGCTCTGGCCAGGTCCCAGAGGACGGGAAAAGGGCCAATATGGTCCTCATTTACAAGAAGGGGAGAAAGGAGGACCTGGGTAACTATAGGCCAGTTAGTCTCACCTTGGTCCTTGGGAAAACCTTTGATAAAATTATCAAGGAGCACATCTGTGGGGGCCTGGCATGGGAGGTAATGCTCAGGGGCAACCAACACGGGCTCACTGCGGGCAGATCCTGCTTGACTAACCTTGTTTCCTTTTACGACCAGGTCACAAAGTCCTTGGATGTGGGCGTTGAGGTGGATGTTGTCTACCTAGACTTCAAGAAGGCCTTTGACACTTTTTCACTCCATTCTCATAAAAAATATCTAGGTGACTGTGGCATT